GACGATGAATCTTGCTCAATCCTAACCAAAACTCACCAGTAAGGTCACCAAATCCATTCTCATAGTCAGTCCAGTATCTATAGAAATCAACAGATCCATCTTGTCTCCTCTGAAATACAGTCCATCCACCACCATCAGTCTCCATATCACAGTATACCTGTGATCCAATAGTGTATAATTATAAAGTATAATACAATTAAACATTACTTGGAAAGCTGGTCCATTATCTGGTGTTATAGGATATACTCCACTTTGATTCTTTCCCAGTTTTTTCCATGCTTTACAATCAGTTGGCATTACACATTCTAAAGAGAAAATCAGAATAAAAATTAGAATGATATTGAATATATTTAAGTTACCATAACTTTAGAAGTGGTATTTATTTTACTAGTCTGTACCTGGTGTAGCACTAACACTAGTGTTAGTAACAAGTGGAAAAGGTTTTTTATCAGGACAGTTTCCATTAACAGTATTAATAATAACAATTATTATCATTAAACTGTACATCAGTTTAGTAGCAATCATGATACTAAAGATCCTTTAGCTTCAATAAAGTAAAATTGAAAGAGAGTAGAAGTGAGGTAGAGAGAGAGGGACAGTGTCCTTCTTTTATAATGAGTGAGTCCTTGTCCTTCCCAATGATTGTGGGAGTATGGATATGCTCGGCAATAGTATCAATATTAGAAGAATGAGGCTCCACCCCTCAAAAAGCCCTGATGTACATGTACAAACAATTGTAATGTAGTGATTGAATGTCTTGTACTTTTAGTATCCATAAATCATAAATAAGTAGTTTCATTAATAGTGAACTACATGTACACTTACTTAAGTTAAAATGAGTCATGAACATATGACATAAAGTGTAACGTTTTAAAGTTCTTTGTGACACTAATCACTTATTGTTTTTAATTGTCTCTGTACAATTGTCTGAAAATTAGAACATCAATATACATGTACTATAGTTTACTTATAAGATTATTATTATAGCTATGTATTGCACTGTATTAGTAATAATAATATTAAACTGTATTTTACAATACTAATATTTATTAACCCCATTCCTTGTGGAGGAGTATTGTTTGATTAAGATTGAACCATAATCTTTCGATTGTCATATAATTGTGTTTTTCATTTATTTTTTTAGCATTTCTTGATTATTTATTAGTTAATGATGTTTGGGTTGTAGAAATAAGTTTATGTTAGCATTTCTTGCTTTTTTAGAAAACATTTTAAGCTATTTTTTATTTATTGCTATAACTTAGTTTGTTGCTAGTTATCTCGTTATAACATTTTACAGCTTATACGTTAATAGTTATAATTATTAAGAGTCAGCAAAAATCACTACAAGGTATGGCAGCTTATTGAAATGACATAATAATATATCAGCACAATGTAAACACACTTATGTGTGTGGGGGACAGTATTTAATTGTTACGACGGGTTTTCATCTCTGAGAACTTGAGACTTACATCGTATCCTTTCCAATGACGCCAAACAATTCCTTTAGAATTCCTAGCTGCAGTATTGAAATAAAGACCATTAAGATTTGCATAAGAGCAGTTATTATACCACCAGGCACCAGCCTGGTGCTGAGCACAGTTAATACTTCGATTTTGATCATTATCATTATCTCTTGTAGTGAATCTCCATCCATTATTATAGGTCAGACTATCCCCAGCAGTACCAGAATATCCTCCTACTGTTAGTGTATATTCAGTACTACCATCACTAACAT